CACAAAGGAATGTATGATTTTCCATGCATGAAAGGTGCGTAACAAACAGAATTTGAATTCCCAACACAAGCAAGACGGCAAACCTAAATGAAAATTATGCAATAATTAGGAACTTTTTAGAACGGCCTTATACCCCTTCTTTTACAGAAGGATTTATGAAGACGCAACCTACCGCCAAATTAAGGCCAAAAAGGATCTTCTGTGCATGCTTCCTACAAAGAAAGGTTAGATGCACAGCGACATCGAGAAAAGTAAACTAAATCAATACAACATGCAGTACGTCCTAGACTCCGGTTAGGCATCCGAGCGACTTTCTCATCGAAAGGATAATAATTTACCCGCTAGAGTTTTAATAAACAGATTTATCCGAACTTGTAAATTTATTTTATGTTTGATGCTAAACGTGGTAATCAGCCTGCTAACACAAAGGTTATGTTAAGAAAACCAGAGGTTTTATCAATTCCCAGATGTCAGATTAGCAGATCTGTGACATTTGGTGCCCTAAAATGCAATGATAATGCAGATAAGGATTCCTTCGTTTAAATGGGCTGAAATTGTTTTGCCGTCTGAAAAATTCTACCTGATGTTACATAAATGACCACCACTGAATGGCCATTTTCAGTTTTGAACATATGAAACACTACTTGTAATGTAGTTTAGCTACTACGCATACAAAATATCAGTATTTATATGGGCAGTCAGCCGTGCATTCATAACCAAAGAACGGAGTCTAAAAAACAAAATCAGTCTAAATGGCTGCAATATATACAGATAGGCATCCTCTTATGTTTACGGCTGAAAAATATTAGTATTGCTTAGGAACGTGAAAGAAACGGCCAAAAGTGCCAAATTGTTGTCTTGGCCTCACCGTGCAAAATTTTAAATTACACAGAGCTCCGTCAACGGAGTGCAGTATCGATCGAAGGCATATTCGTTGCTGACTTTCGTTGTGGACAATCATTTTTTCTCGAAAAAAAGTTTGATGTTTGAGTGAATCCTTACGTGTGACCCAAACGACTACCTTCGTGAAAAGGAGCATCCGAACACTTACTACTTCGGCAAATGCCTTCATGAATAATCTTTTTTATTGTTCTCAATAGACAGGTAATTCAGAATCGGTCTTTATGGATGATTGGGTGAAAACACTGAAAATCATGAAGAATTCAGCAAAAGGTCGAGGCCGATCTAGCACTTAACGTAATCCAAATTGAATGAAAAGTGTAAATTAATTTAACGGAAGAATTATTCTCTCAATAAACGCAAAAAGGCATGTTTACGATCATGCCTGTCAGTTCTATTCAAATTTATTAGGCACCGACCGACTTCATAGCATGTTACCTTATGAAAACTTTTGTTCCTACGATGTCAGGCATCGTTGAAATGAGCAAAACCCAGTTTCTATTGTTTATTCCCGTCTCACTATTTCAAACGAATCAAGGATAACACGAATCTCTGGAAATCTGTTTTGAAATCTACACTCAAACTGTAGGCAGTTGCCAAAACGTCATATATGAAATCGCCCTAATTATTTAACGATATTTATCTTTTAACTTCACTGAGACACTATAATTAGATGTTTCTATTTATACTTTCTTATTTACTTCGTTTTTGTATGAGAATAGATTATATACATCTAAAAACGAAGTTTACTGGATTAGAACAATTTCCGAAGTTTTCTGAGATGTTGCGCTTTTCTAAAAAAATCGGAATTTCTAAACGACGCAACACTGCCTTTAGTACTTTTTATGTTTTTAATCCTTTTAAACTTTTACTTACTTACTTAACATATGCATTGGACTCATGAAATGGTGTCGGTTTGCGAGTGATTGACAATCATTCGTAAATTTCGACAAATTTCATGAGTTACGTCACTAACTCTAAGTAGTCACATTTCACCGAGTGGATTCTTGCAGGTGGTCGAAAAGATGCTCATCCAGAAACCGGTATCCTGCCGTAAATGAAAAGCCGTGGGGTTATGCTGCATGCCAACCAACCTTCCTAACTGAGACCATATTTCTGAATTTCGGCTAACGTGACATAGGTTACGTCACTCACTGCAGTCGCGGATGTTGCTAGATCCTAAAGGTCTCCTTTTGTATGTTCGTTGCTGCGTCCTCACCTCCCTGGCGTCATTAGTTTTGCGGGTCGTTGCTCCGGATAGCCCACTAGTCTACTAATTCTGTCCAGGGGTTTCTCAGTTGGCCTGGTTGAATTCGCGACATTTTAGCAAGCGTCTCAAGGTCTCCCCACAAGAAGGTCGCTCCCCGCCCGAGTGACGAGATGTAGTGATGGCAACATCACCCGGATGCACATGTAAACAGGTACATTTGCATAATAGATGCAGTTCTAGTGTCACCGGGTCTGGTGAAAGTCCTGATCAACAGGTGTCCTCTAAGAATATATTAAGTACCTCAGGTAGCAAACACCACTGGACTGTGGCTAACGCGCGTTCATTACATTGCAAATAAGAGGACTTTTAAGGCATGGGACTTAAGGGTTTTCTTGAGACATGTGGAAGACATAGGAAAGAGAGGGAGAGGCAGATTGATGCGCTGGTTGTGGCGCTGTAACATTTGTAGCAAATCATGTCCTTGTACTGAGTCATACCTTAGATGACCGCAAGCACGCAACGCACGGGCATTCACGTGTTAGCACCCCTGCTGAAGACAGACAGCAGGAGGTGTTTTAGTTTGCTCGTAGTTGTAATTCTACTTCAGCCCTAAAAATAACTTGTCTTGTGGTGAATTGGGATAAAATGAATCTATGTAAAATTGTTCTTGCTAATGGGGTATACTGAAACAGGAGCGGCTTTTACCTATTTCGTGAATACTCCAAATTTATGTATTTTTAAGAAGTTGAGTCCAGCAGACGTACGCTTTCGATTATTTATCGTCAGGACTGTGCAGTAATATGAGGGAGGGTAAAGTAGCAAAAGCTAAACGGTCGATAAAATTAGGTATGGGGGAGAGAGGTGAGAACGTTCAGAGGTCGGGCTAAACCAAGGCGTGGAACAGTCCATTTCTAGTGCGATTGTGACTCATTTGGTTGATGACAGCCACCAGGTAGACGTCAGTCAAGTACTAAGTACAGGCGAAACACTCCAGGTTGCTGCGTCAGCGGATACTTGCGACGGCAGAGGCAGTGGCCATAGGACTAATCAATCCAACTTTGTGCTCTCATAAAGCGTTTGTGCAAGCACTAAGGCTCCCCGGGGCAACAACGGACCCAAAATGTGTGTTAGCACTCCCTGCCACAACGCGTTACAGCGACGAAACGGAGACATAGCTGATTGCTGAATATCTTCCCCCTCCCTCTTTTAGCCCCTCACAGAAGAAGACTCTGAACTCTTATTTCTAAACGTCGTCATCCCTCTCCCCCATACTTAGTTTTATTGGCTGTTTAACTTTTACTATCCTTCCCTGCCTTATATTACTGTACATACCTGATGATTAATAATCAGGTGCGTACATTTACCGGACTGGATTTATTAAGTACTCATGGGTTTTTGCTAAGCAACGCTTTGCATCGTTGCTTGTCATGGAAATTTTTCCGACTTCAGTACTGCACTGCAATTCACTAACCGGTGTTTTAGACAGGGGTTAACTAAGGTGCAGTAGTAACGTCTATTCCGCTCTCCTGTAGAGCCCTCACGAGCCTGATACTCGTAACAATTTGTCTTGTATGTGCAGGAGGAAGCGGTATTTCGACCGTCGATTTCGACTATGTCTACCATGTGCTCCACAGCAGGGCGGGAGAGGGACGGTGACTTGTGCGTGAATTAGTTTACAGTGATAGTAGACTTGTACCGCATTCACCGCACTCTCTGCTCCCCCCCCCCATCTGAGCGTGGTGTCAAGATAGAGCCAAGAAGACCGGAGGTGGAGGAGGGCGCAGGTGGATGACACGGTCGAGCCTGCACCTTGGCGTTCCACTCCACACTCTCTGGTCCGCACAACAAATAACCAGGCTTTTGACTAACAAAAATAATGGGGAGGGTGGCCGGGGTACCAATGCGCGCGACGTCTGCCGGCAACCGGGCCTGACACCGCACCCCCAAATTGTGGCATCTGCCAATAGAAGCGAAGAGACGAGTCCCAGGAAGTAGTCTTGAAGAAGGAGCCACGATCGCCGGGACCAGAGCTTTATCAACCTGACGTTTCGGATTCCTACTCGAATCCATCATCAGAGACAAAGGAGCAGAAATGGGTGGTTGCTGCACAAGGAGCTGCAGTATTTATAGGATGCAGTAGCCAGGCTACCGCATGCCTATGAACCTTCACGGCTCCCCCCTTCATCCGGGATCGTCGCACTTGGTGTGATCACTGCTTGATGGCCGACATTCGAGTCGATAATTGCTGCAATTTCATCACGTGCGTTGGATGTTGGCGTGATGATTGCTCGACCATCTGACGCATCGACCCCGGTGTTGGGAAAAGTGTTCACCTCTGCGCCCCCCGCATGGCTTGTTACTCCGCCTAGGCGAAATTTTAGCACGCAGCATGGAGTGGGAAGATCGTTGCACTTGTTGATGGACTGGGCGCCAGTAAACCATGATTCCAGTAGCTCCCGGCCCACGCGGTTGTCATCTCGTGCGAGAATTTCGGCCTCATCGATTTTGAATGTGTGGCCGGATCTCGTCGAATGAGCCGCAACTTGAGAGCTGCCGTCATTTCTCCGCACTGCTGCAGCGTGTTCGGCCATTCGCGTTCGGAGCTGTCTTCCGGTTTCTCCGACGTAGTTGCTTTGTCCGCAACTGCACCAGATCCGATAAACGACTCCAGATGTTTCTTGCCGTGGCAGTGGGCCTTTTGGTTTCATCAATTGACGCCTGATGGTTGCCTCCGGTCTGTGTGCCACTCCAACCCCAAGTGGTGCGAGAAGGCGGCCGACAGCTTCCGAAACGTTCTTGACATACGGAAGTGCCCGCATCTGTTATGGTGCTTAAATCCGATAACGCCTGCCAGAATCCAATATGGTCCCGTGTTGGTCCAGCGCATCTACTACGTGAACCGCTTGGCGACCTGCAGAAAGAAAGAACAGCTAAGGCGCGAGAATATATGCTCCCCCGTATAACAAGTCACCTTGAGCTAGATTTCGGGCGAGATAGTCTTAGTGCTAGTGCTATTTTCATGGACAAGTCTAAGGGCAGAGCACGGGAAAGCGTACATTCTGGAATTTAACGAAAAGCCCTCTGTAGTACCGGGGGGGCCACATTTCCGTGTCCAACCGTAATAGCATATAAAGAAAACTCTAAGCGCTTTGAACGCCGACTCTGCTCGTCCACATCCATGCTACATCTACCGAAACTCCGCCAAAACCGCCACGTCAAAGATCGTAGGAGTCACTTCGGTCAGACTTTAGGTAAAAAAATCCCCAGCTACCTGTAATACGGGACCGGTGGTGGTAAGGGTTTTTACAGGTGGCACCGGAGAACGCACAGGCGATTAGGTCAAGTAATTGTATGCAAAAACTAACTACCGGGAATGCGCGATTGTACATTGAGTGGTTGAGAAATAGTTGCCCAAACCCCTAAACCCTAACCCCTAACCCTAACCCTTACCCCTAACCCTGCCTCAACCCTAACCCTTAATTGCAGCCCTAAACCCTAACTCTGAAACATCGAACGCGAAATTTAGAAGAGGATGACAGGCCGAAAGTCCAGATGGACCGCCGGCATTTGGCCAAAAAGTGTAGATACGTCAACAAAGAGACAAGGCCGCCAACAGGACACACACCGCAACACACAGCAACACCATGCCAACGTAATCACATCAAACTCAAAATTATTAAGTTTGTCAACAGTGCTGTGTTCATCAGGTGCGGCTACCTAACCACATCTTACCTTCACTTTACCATCTGAGACCAAACCCTAAGACCCTCTGGTTTATTAGGAGGAAACTGCCTTCATATACACGTAATGGTTTCCTGGTTATGATGACTGCAGCTGAAATTTGGACAAACTGGTCGGAGGCTGCGAACCCGTCTGTTTAAACACCACCTGATGGCTAGTCGCTCAGGTGGGAAATTTCAGTTCGCTTGCAGTTCTGAGAAGAACTGGCTGTCATCGATTTCTGCAGTATAAGGACCCCATGTCTGAGGCATAATCGATCATTCTGCAGGCCCAGATGTCTGAAACAGAAAAAACGCCGCAGGACGACCACGGGGATCAGTCTCAAACTCCCGCAACTCCTGAGTCCGTGACAAATTTCTCACAGCATACTTTAGTAGTTTTCAATACATTTTACCTGCTTAATGAAGTCTTGTTGGCCTAGCCTCAGTCTGGCTATATACTGCAGAAACAGTGATTCATTTGTGTTTTCTGACCGTCTAAAATAATGAATCACGATGATCGTTCCGTGTAGCGCGGCTTTTCGCTTCCAACTGCCAGCTCTACCGAGCACCGCAGCACAAAATACTCGTGAACAGGGTTCTCCACTAATTGCCCCGGACGGCACAGGCTTTTAACTAATCAGCCTTACAATCTGTAGGGCATGATACGATGTGATTGGCAGAAAAAGTAGTGCTGATGGAAGGGCAGGGGAGTTTTAAGAGCTGCGGGACAGCAGTATTGCCTCAGGTGGCTGAGGTGGAGTTAACTGTCCTATTACTAGCGAGCAGATCAGTGCAGAGACTCGGCTCATCAGCTGTCTCAAAAAAATGTATGGTAGATGGTTTTGCGTCTGAGTCGCTGACGTCTTTGAATAGGCTTTGGCCCGGACCCCTTTAGGACATACCAAAAGCTTTTGCGAGCATAGGACAAGTTTATGTTTAGATGGTGACCGGCCTCATGAAATGTTAGCAGAAATTCCGAAATACGTTTCCATTTAGGAAGGATTACTTACGTGGAGTTCTAATAGTGACTTTCTCTCAGCATAATCTTACAATATTTTGGACTAGGAAGGGTGTTGGTTTTTTTATACACTTCTTTTCAATCTCCTGTAGTACTCGGTAAAAATTTAAAACTTAAATAGCATGCATTTTTTACGTCGCCTTTCGATAGTCTTATAAATTTAAATATATTTTATAAAAAACAAGGAAAATATGCTTTTTTACTCGTTTGATAAGGAGCCACGTCATCTTCTTATTTTATACTCGAAGAAGGAGTATAATTAGGTTTCAAAAAAGTTTCTAATCATGAGACGTTTTAAGACTGTGCAGTGTCCATTCATACAGCATAGTTCCTGTCCGTTTACCACTGCTCCTCATGAAATGTACAACATAGTCCGCATCCAGTGCAAAATGTTATGGAATCTAAATAATATCTTTCGAAAGGCCTAGAAGGATATATGATTTCCCTTAAACATAACGCATGCACCTTGTAGAGTGAAATCACTAAGCCCTAATGCAATGGCTACTTTCGCTCCAAAGTATTCGGGAATTCGACAGCTTTTTCAAAACCTAATTATACTCCTCCTTCGAGTATGGAATATGAAGATGACGTGGTTCCTTATCAAATGAGTAAAAAAGCATATTTTCCTTGTGTTTTTTATAAAACATATTTGAATTTATAAGACCATCGAAAGGCAATGTGAAAAATGCATGCTATTTAAGTTTTAACGTTTTACCGAGTAGTACAGGAGATTGAAAAGAAGTGTATTCAAAAGCCGACATTCTGCCGAGTCCGAAATATTTTAAGATTATGCTGCACGAAAATTAATATTAGAACCCCACCTAAGTAATCCTTCCTAATCGGGAACGCATTTCAGAATTTCAGCTAACATTTCATGAGATCAGTCACTCACCGTATGCATATTGACTGGCCCACCCGCAATCGTAAATATACGTTTTCTGACTGGAATAACTCAACGTTCCAGCTTTCCATACACAGCTTGGCACTTTTTAAATAGGCTAGGTATACTAAAAAAACCTGGAGTTGGATCTAGTCGCGTTCATTTTAGGCCAAACAGCAAAATATTTACGCATCTACCTTGAATTGTGCCTGGTAGATCAACTTGCACAACCTGCTTCTCATGAAAAAAGTACTTGAGTGGAGCCTAACTAGACAGCCAGTACCCGCCTTCTTGAGAAAGTCTCCTTTTCTTCGGCACACAAATTAATGTGGCTGTCCTTCTGTCCAAGAAGATCTGCAAACTCGAGACTCGTATTGGCAGTTATAGACGTACAATCTACCTGTTTACCAGATAACTTCAGTTCTTCAGTAACTAATCTAAGTGTGATTCCTTCAGTGTTCTACCTATGGATATCTGCTAACTGTGATCCCAGACTTTGTGACAATGGACGGCATATAGACAGACTACTTGGCGACGTTTGGTTCTGCAGCCCACTTAATTGATGCCATATGGTTAGCTTGCCAAAAACAATTTTAGTTAACATACCGAACTTAGCCACTCACTGGACGAGAAATGGAAATTGGGCGCAAGAAGAGCTCGAAACGAACGCAGAGAAGTGAGTGAAGGTAGCCTGTACACACCCCCCAACACAGCCACTCGATAGTTTGAGAGGATATGGTGGGGTGCAATCACAACTGGAAGGCCGCTGAGGGTACTGGGTGGTAATTCGCAGTGCATGGCAACTGTAGTGGAACCGACGGAGTTCTGCACCGTCGGGATAATTCCATTAGTAAGTCTGCTTCGCCACTGGCTGGATAAGAATAATAAAGAGAGCGCAAGCAGGGCTCGAATCACGCCGAGGGAAGCGTGTGTGAACTGATAACTGAAGTAACCGAGGCTGGCGTATAAGCACCCCTACCTGTGGCACAATCTCTTGTTGAATAAAAATGTTAAGGAATGTGAAATCACGTGACATTTTAATGTCGGCGTATTCGCATCTTGAAGAAGAAGAAGACACGATCGCCGGGACAAGAGCTTTATTAGCCTGACGTTTCGGATTCCTGCTCGAATCCATCATCACAGACATTAGCAGATAAGGGTGGTTCATGCACATGCCGCTGCAGTATTTATAGGATGCAGTCGCCACACTCCGCATACCTATGAATGTTCACGGCTCCCTCCCCTTCATCAGGGATCGTTGCACGTGGCGTGATGGCCGATATTCGCGTCGTTAATTGCTGCAATTTCATCACGTCCGTTGGATGTTGGTGTGATGATTGCTCGACCATCTGACGCGCTGACCCGGGTGTTGGGAAGAGTGTTCATCAAGGCGCTCCCCGCGTGGCCAATTTCTCCGCCTAGACGAACTCTCAGCACGCTGTATTGAATGGGAAGATCATTGCACTTGTTAATAGACTGGGAGCCAGTGAACCATGACTCAAGCAGCTCCCGGCTCACGCGGTTGTCACCTCTTGTGAGAATTTCGGCCTCGTCAACTTTGAATGTGTGGCCGGATCTCGTCGAATGAGCCGCAACTTGAGAGCTGGCGTCATTTCTCCGCACTGCTGCAGCGTGTTCGGCCATTCGCGTTCGGAGCTGTCTTCCGGTTTCTCCGACGTAGTTGCTTTGTCCGCAACTGCACCAGATCCGATAAACGACTCCAGATGTTTCTTGCCGTGGCAGTGGGCCTTTTGGTTTCATCAATTGACGCCTGATGGTTGCCTCTGGCCTGTGTGCAACTCCAACCCCAAGTGGTGCGAGAAGGCGGCCGACAGCTTCCGAAACGTTCTTGACATATGGAAGCGCCCGCCAAACTTTGGTGTCCCTGCGGTTAGGCCTTTCGTCCATTTTGCGTATGCAGCGGTTGATAAAGTTGCGCGGGTAGTCATTGGCTTTGAAGACCCGTCGGAGGTATTGTAGTTCAGCAATCTTGTCTTCCGGCTCACTGCAGTGCGTTTCGACACGCCGATAGAGCGTCCTTACACAACTGCGTTTGTGACTGATTGGGTGGTTGCTGTTGAACTTCAGTACTTGCATCGTGTTTGTCGCTTTTCTGAACACTTTGGTCTTTAGTCCACCACAATCCTTGCGGCATACGAGGACATCCAGGAAGGTCAGCTGGTTGTTCTCTTCCTCCTCCATCGTAAATTGTATGTCCGGGAAGACCGCATTCAGACGTTCCTTGAATGTCAGCAGTTGATCCCGATCGATAACGACGAAGGTATCATCCACATACCGGGCCCAGAAAGTCGGTTTGTGGTGTGGGAAGACCAGCGACTCTAACCGTTGCAGGACCGCCTCGGCGATGAACCCCGAAATCGGCGAACCCATTGGTGTGCCCTTCACCTGTTCGTAGATTGTCCCGTCGAACGTGAAGTACGTCCTGAGACAGAACTTCAGGAGCTGAAGGACTTGGGCGCGTCCAAGACGATTCTCCGTTTCATCGTATTTACGAAACGGGACGAAATTGCCAAAGATTAATTAGTCTGGTACCTCGCCACGCATAAACCGAGTAGTTAGTTGTCGTACTTCCATCACCGCTGTTGGCTCAAGGCATAATAATTACTCGGCTGCCTGACTTGCTCTCACTGGAAACGTCGGTCGCCCACGCCATCTACGCGTATCTAACTTTTCTGTCCAGGCAGTTTCAGTACAGAAAATGGGGTCGGGGAGTCAATGCGCTTGTTGACGGCAGAACCGCTACTCTAGCTGTTCGCGTGGGCGCCAGCCCTTGCGAGGATCTCGGCCTCGACAAGTCTGGATGTGTGGCCCGGTCCCGTCAAATGAACCCCGAGCCTCAAGTGTTCCACACTTCGAGGTTGGGTATAACTGGCTGGTGACGACTAATAAGCCAGAAATGGCCATCCCAGTCCCTCTTGTCTTTGTCAGTAATGCTACTCTGTCTCATCTCAAAGACCTTGCCCACACGTACGACTGCATTGCTGGCTTTTCCTTTTTGGCTGAAGCAGGTCTCGCACACACGCACCAGCCGGCTGCTCCCATGATTTAGCCCCCCTCCCTTCCCCGGTTAAAGTGGTTTATGGCATGTGGACATCTGCACGCATTCAGCGTCGTAAAACCACAGATGAAAAACGCTTGGCATTTGTGAGCCTATTGTCTCAACCACCAAGAGCATAAGGGATGCTTCGCACAAACCATTAAACCAGTTGCCTCAGACAAATAAATACGAAATTAATATTACTTAGTTGCTGTAAGTAAAGTGGAGGTAAATGTTCGAGTGTCAGGTTATTGGTTCGAAGTAAATGAATGCACGATCACTGTAACAACAATTGCATTAGCCCAAGCTTTCGGACGATGAGTATACAACAACCGAACGATTCTGTAATTAGACAATAAGGTTGGGGGAAGGGAGGGATTGCGTCCGAGAATTGTCTGGAGTCACAGCACCTAATCCCTGTTTGCCTGGCGGTGTCGTGACAATGTGCACCCTTGGCTGAGAACTCGGTCACGCCGCCTGGACGCATAAACGTAGCGTCTGATTGCAGAAGGTAAGTCAACGTGTCTGTTTATGGGGTTTGTTATCAGACACCGAGGCCCCCCAACTGTTCTCGCCCCGTCTTACTATCGGCTCGCGGCATAGATAGGCGTGCTCGCAAAGTCGGATTTGTGCAGAATGCGACCAGCGACATGTGACGCGCCTCTCAAAACGGCCCGCTTGTGCCGAGTGTTCGTGAACCGAGCCGCCCCACTGTCCGGTACGTGTAGTTGGAAGGACAGTCATGGCATGGGATTTGATAAACAACGCCTGACTGCCCACTGAAGTTCAAGCGGACGTCCATCTGTATGACTCCAGTACGCATGGCAGTTAAAGGACGATGGGCCAGATCCACACCAAACTCATCGAAAATTAATTCTGTTGCTTTTGATACGTTCCTCGCATACGAGGAAGTATGCCACAGCGCTGGTGGCAGTCTTCCTTTTGCCACTTTTTGAGCTCGCGTGTTGAGCCAGCGGTCAATGAAATTGTTCGGATAGTCCTTCCTTACATATTGGTCCGGAAGATGCCGTAGTATTTAGATTTGTCGCTCTGGTTAGTTACAATATGTCCTTGCCCTTTGAATGAGCGCCCTAAAATAACAGCATCCGTGCATTACATATTGATCACTATGGTAGGTCAGTAAGTCGGAAAGCGTGTGCTATGCCAGTATTAGCAAACCATGACCCTCGTAGACTGATATGCGCCGGCTGTCCTCTGACATCCTGTTCCCTGCCGGTAGATACGCTTGCACTCCCGCCGGGTATACAGGTGGCGCACATGGCTGCCTAGCCGTTCTCGTCCTTCAGACCCCTGTTGGGGTGTTGTTTTTGGTGAAAAATCCTGGGCATTTGCCGTGTGGATCAGGGGGTGTGGTGCACGCCTAGGCGCGGGTCCGGTCATGCTAGCCACCTGTGCCCTCCTCCGACTCCGGTCTTCTCGACTGTGTCTTGACACGGGGCCCAGGTGGGGAGTGGGGAAGAGAGAGTGCGGTAGGCGCTGCGCAAGTCTACTACCACTATAAACTAATTCACGCGCAAGTCACCGTGCCTGATGCACCTTGCTGTGTAGCACACGATGGCCGTCGTCGGAATTGACGGTCAACCTGTCGATTATTATGATAGCTGATGAACTGAGTTAGGTTGGTCAGGTATGTTATCTATACTGGTGGGGCGTACACATATCAGGTTAAAAATAATTCCTTCTTGAATTATTGCCGGTCGTCATGCGATTAGTTCCCAGGCCTTGATCTTGAGCCCCAAGACGCAAAAGAGTAAAATTTTTTGTATCCTGGTCGGAGAACGCCTTCTAACACAGTTAATATGCCCAACCACAACGACAGGGAATCAGTGGTTAAGGCGTTCAATTTGGAAACACTGAACAACCGAAGATTCCAAATTCAAATCTCAGGTTGACCAAATATAGGGGTGGGTGAGGCTAGCTGACGTCCTCTAATAAACTGGAAGTGCCCATCCCAGCCTCTTTGGTCCTCCTAGCTACTTCTTGTAGCATTTCTTACAGGCATCGGCTCCTGCTTTCATATATTGTGCATATTTCGATCAAAACGTTCAGTGCTCAATACGTGGCACTGTAACCATGTCGTCTTCGAACTACCACAGTTCCAGAAACTGAATGTCGTCAACAGCACCTGGACCACTCCCGTTTTGAAACTTGGAAAATCTGTCTCCGCTGTGGCATGACTCCGCAAAGTTCATCTTTCCAGAACTCTAGGGTTAACCGTCCAAAATACGTCTTTGCTGACATCGCTTTGTATGCGTTACCGATCCCTGTGAGGGGCTCGATCCCGCGACCTGTTGGTTAGAAGTCCAACGCCCCTAATCACTGAGCCACGGGCTCTTTGTCCTGTCTGTTGCAATTGGGAATATACAGTTGTAGAGGGGCGCTGACCGATCGTGTTACGGAACTCACTCGTCCCGTTGTGCCTTAGGGCTCTCTCCCGGGCCCAATCAGCGTCCGCAAAGCGGCGGGTAATATAGGCACTGTGCGGCTGCCGGTTCGGCTCGATAGAGAGAGAGAGAGAGAGAGAGAGAGAGAGAGAGAGAGCGAGTCTCGAGGCACAGCGGAACGAGTGAGTTTCGTAATTAGGTCGTTGAGCGCCCCTCTACAAACAAGGAATCTGACGAGCTTTAAAATTATCAGGACGCGTTAGACGTGCTTGGAAGGCTACCAGGTGATGAGATAAATCCTGCTCTAAGGACGGGAACTCAGGCCGCCATGAGTCCTTCTGAGTGTGACCTCTATGGTGCAGTCCCTCAGATGAGATCCGATCCATCCCTTTGTTGACGTGTTTAGCGCGCATAGACGGGCCGTTTTGCGTTATCAGCTTTTTCACCCCATCGCCTTGAGTCGGTCTTGGCACCAGGTCAGTAATTTGTGAAGGAAACAGGAGTGAGATAGATGCTGCAGAAGTCAGCCACCGCCATAAACACATTCATGTGCAAATCACCGCCCTGTGCCCACCTCACTCTGGGGCGTACGGTGGTCATCGTCGTTCGTAACGGTCACACTGACGTATCAAAAGGAATAAAACAGAGGAGCAGACACAATTCACCTTGTCAGTTGAAATCCCAGTGCATTTTTGAATGCCGTAGCATAAGCAGGAATTTCAAATATCAGAAAATTATTACAAAGGAGTGGGTTTGTTGCGTTAAACGCATGGTCACCAAACTGCTCTTAAACGCAGATAAATAGAACCGAAACCTCTCGCTTGACAATATTCCTTCAAGTACTCTGACCATTCTATCTATTCCATTAATACTTTCGCATTCATAACCCATCATATTCCTTGCTGACATTCCTACGGTCATGATGTACGTTACGTAGACTCCGCAGAAAATATATTCTGTAGACTTTTATTTTTGTCGATTGTTTTGGTGAATTATTTATATATATATATATATATATATATATATATATATATATATATATGGAAGAGGAATGTATATATATATATAGGCAGAATGATATTACCGACAAAGACAAGGGAGACTGGAATGGCCATTTCTGGCTTATTAGCCGTCGTCAGCCAGCCATACCCAAGCCCGAAGTGTGGAACACCCGAGCCTCGAACTCGCGACCTGTTGGTTTAGAAGTCCGCGCCTCTACCCACCGGGCCACGAGCCCGTTGCCTTGTCGATTTTCGATCGGGAATATACAGTGGTAGGGGGCGCTCACCGATCGTTCATACGCCTATATATCATGCGCGGCTGTGCGGCTGCTGGTTGGGCTCGAGAGAGAGCCCTTGACGCACAATGGAACGAGTGAGTTCCGTATGAACGATCGGTGAGCGCCCCCTACCACTA